ATACCGGCACGCAATTTCATTCATTTCGATTCGCATTTAACTTTTCAGTCGCCAACGAGCCCGATATAGACCGCGTTATGAATAGTGCAACGTCGTTCTCGGAGCGTTCAGCATCGCTGCCCCACGGAGTATCGTAATTCTCTTTATCACGTCGTGTCTGCAGTCTCTGCCTCTCGCTCTCTGTATATCAATGCGATACGAACGAATATGCAGAACTGCACATGCATACATACATGCATGCAGTGCACAAGGAAAATCGCGCCGGAGCCGATAAGAAGAAATCCAACCGGCACGTATCCTCTCGCGAATGCAAGCCTTTCGTCGTCTTTCGCAAACAAAGCAGTGTTTCATTAAAGAGATTTTTGCGAAATATATTATCTTAAATTCTCTTCTAAAAACGCAGGAAAAGATTTTATATAAAATATGTTCTAGAAAAAAAATTATTCTAATCTTCAAAAATATATGAGAAATATCTAAACAAATAAAAAAAAAAATATTGTGATTTATGTAAAGAGAACTCTTTCTCCTAGTTAGCATTTTTTGTATAAATAGTATTTGATGACACTCAATATATAAATGATAATCACCCTAAAAATATCGCTAATGAAATTGTCCTGTAAAATACACTGATTTACAATGTTCCTGAAATCAAAATCAAATTGTGCTAAAAAATATCACAGGATTAATATCATAAGAATTCAATGACATAAAATGTCTGCCATATTTCTTGATTCTGTTATTTCGACATCTTGTATATATCAATGTATATATTTCGAAATCTGAGCATGATCGTTTCACTGTGGAAGAAAAAAAAACCAAGCGTATGACAATCTCGCGGAAAATTTTCTGTTAATACGCGCAATCTTACACACACAATTACATGCTTCCTCGATAAATAAGCAGCGTACTATCAATCATTTAGTACGCATACAATGATATGCTCATCTCCTACTACGACGATTATTTATAAATATGTATCAACAACGATTAAAAACGGCAAATCATTGTGACGCCTTGAGTTTGCTGTTTTCTAGATGAATATTTATTATACATTCACGGTTTACTAAAAATAATGGTGGTGTTATTGCACGCTTATGACACATATTGGTTCAAAAGATGATTACTTTAGATTTAACTCGTATGTGCCAGTTTTTCATATTTATCAACATGAATTAATTGTACAATATGAAATTTTTAGCGATGTACAAGTATTTATGTAACAAAACAGATATATATATATATATTTGCAAAACATATATGACATTTGTATTATAATGCTCTGTAAAATACAAAATCATTTTATTACCCATAAAAAAATATATTTTGATAACTTACTATATATAGGAAGAGACATAAATAATATATAGAGTTTTAAATATATGTATTAATATTTCCAAGACATTTGAAAATGTTTCTATTACAACTCATTACAAAAATTTTTATTTTGTGATCTAATAATTTCTTTTTATTTTCTTTATTTTTTATTTTAAATTATCTATGATATCATATAGATTATAGAATAAATTACTCGGATAGATTATAGAAGACATACAGGAATAGGAAGGATATCATTTATTTAGCGAGCACGTTTAGGACTCCGCGAGATCTTAATCCGACTTTAGTAATAGTAGACATTTGACACACAACTTTCTGTTTCCGCAATAAGGTATCAAGATGTTTTTCCCATCTAATGGGATGATATTTAAATAGAAAATTATTTCTTGCAAGTTGCAAGCATTTTGCACCATGCTGTCGATTTACATAAATTCCAGCTCAAAGAGAAGAACGAGACGCAAACTACCTTATTATCCGCTCCCATGTGACGGTCGCGTTAAAATAAACGCGACGACTAATTTCCTCGAGGGCAGCATCGTCATTACAAAGTCTGCTTTCGACATCGTAAATACTTGGGGTATACTCACAAAAGGAAAATATTCCGGTGGTGTTCGAAGTAGGTACTGACGAGAGAAGGACGATGTACAGGATATCCAGGAAAGGTGCGACTCTCGCTTGAATACATATTCTATATTTATGTTAAAAAATGAGAACAGATTTTGTAAAAATGTCTAGAGAAATTTACGTCCTTAATTAAAATATATTCGCTACAAAAATAATATTGGAGAAATAAAATTTCCTGTCTCGGTTAGATATCAAGATTTATATTCACATATTTATTTTATAAAAAGCATACATCCTACAACTAGAAATTCCAAAAGATATTTAAAATTTTTACGTTTATATAAATATATGAACGTTATATATACATATATCTCTGAAGCCTGCGATCGGATCTTCCTTGGACATTCCGCATCGCGTTTCCCGCTCGCGCGGATGCAACCGGGGAGGGAATAAATATTTCGCAGCCACGTCTAGTCATTTGCACAGTCGCCGCCGCTATTCCCGATGCGGTCCCGCGGATTCAATAAGTCGTAAGGGCCAGTCTCGTCTTCTCGCTCTCCGCCTTGTCGGCGACGATACAACCGCGCGTATCCGCCGCCGGGCTTTACACGCAGGATGTCCCGTTTAAGAATATAAATGTGGATTTATCCCGTTTACAAACGCGTATCCTTCCTCGTCTGCGAGAAAACATTTTTACGAGACGTCCGTAAATGTATATGTGTCCGGACTTATTATTTAGCTTCTGATCTCTCGAATGGTCAATCGATTCGTATTATTTGTCGGTTCTATCAATCCGATGCAATTGATTTTTTCTTTCTTTAAATGCAAAGATTAACTGATCCTATTTAAACGGCAAAGCAAGCGGTAATATTTTTTGAAAAAATATATTTGAGAAATTATATTATTTTTATATTTCATTCAGATGTATAATTTATTATAAGATATATAGAGAGAAATCTCTCTGATAACGGATTATCCAACTAGATTTTATAAATGCATTGTTATTGCTTAGCTTTAGCTGCATAAAAGTCTTATATCAATGCTAATTTCGCGTTTGAGGTATGATACGTATAATATTTTCTCGAGATGGGTATCGGGCAACCATCTTACGTTCATGTGCATAACGGCTAAAAAAAAAAGAAAGGGACGAAGGGCCGCACTTTTCTCAAGTCGGAAGGTGCACTTGTCAACGAGACTGTACCTTGCTCGAGTCGCTTGAAAGCCCGTGGTTCATGTACGGTTGTGTCGGTGAAGGAGCTCGCGTGTGAGACTTAATTTGTGGTTTTGTGACGCGTGCACGTACGAGTCACGTACACGGGGAACGGCGACAACGCGGCGTGCGTGTGAATGGACCCCGAAGACTCACCTTGAAAAGGAGCGAGTATCGAAAGAGAGTCTTGTGCCGCGGCGCGGTATATAACGTGTGCGACAAATACGTGTGCGCACCGCGGCCGTTGCACGTGAGACGAACGAGACGCATTTTTACAGACGCGAAAACCGTTAGGGCAACGCCGTAATTGTTAGCGATGGCAATTGAAAGTGCGACCGGATCCATCGCTACCAGCCAATCGCCTCAATGATCGATAGACTCGAGTACTATGATCTTTACCGGACAAAGTAATTCATTGTCAAGGCGATTGTGATTAAAGCACTTCTAAACCACGACTCTTCAATTGGATGATTTCTATGCGGAAGATAGCGTTTGATCGCGACATTTTGAGTTATAGATGTTTCGGAAATTATCTAATATTTTGAAAATACGTATCTTAATTCTAAATACTCATGATCATTTAAAAAGTAAGATACATCAAAATCAAAAGGCATTACAAAATTCAGATTAAAATAATATATGATCGCAATTATCAGTGCAAAATTTAATTAATCTTCAGGATCATGAAAGTCACGCTAATCTTATTGTTTCCAATCGCGAGGATAATGTGTATGAACCGTGTATCGCCCGTTGTCTGCGAAGATGGGAGTGTAATAATATTTTACGAGGAGATGCGTGCGTCAAGTGAATTTACAACCAGACAGAGAGACACGGGTGTAAATTTATAAAGGAATTAGGAGATACCGTAAAGAGATTATTTTTGCAAGTACGAGCTTATACGCTCGCGTGTATCAGGTTTGCATCTATCGAACAATCTTATTTTATTATGTTATTAAGAGCGAAAAATGAAAAATAGTATTTCATGTACGCTAAATTTTTAATTCGCGTATATATCTCGATAAATGCGTGAATAATGATTTTTTATCAAATCTAACACATTTTCCTGCATTTGGCACTGATTGTAGGTAAAAACAGACAAGTCTCGAACACCACGTATATCACGGCAAGCAAAAGTTTAAATCGTACGTGGTGCCCCGTTTTGTTAACGCGTCGTCCCTTTGTAACGACTCATCTCGTGAAAGCGTTATGTAGAAAAGCATGTCACACATATGCATAAAATCCTGTTTTATAGAAAACTCGAGATATATTCTCTCTCTCTCTCTCTCTCTCTCTCTCTCTCTCTCTCTCTATATAAATAATATTGTAGAATATATTTATACAGAGAGATATTATATTTAAAAATGTCGAAGAAAGTAAAGTTCTTCAAAATTATAAGCATAATTTTGCATTCATAATCTTAATAATTCAAATAATTTGAGCTTTGATGATGGTCATATGATCATACGTTCATAGTACTTTATTTCGTCGACTTGGCGACAGGTGAGCAGAAATTTTATGCGTTTTTGCGAAAAGTGAGTATACATATTAATGTCAGCGATTAAAAAAAAAAATGGTTTTTTTTTCATTTCCTTTTCGTATATCACATTCGCATTACTTTTTAACATTTGTCTATTCCACGTAATATGATCCATTCAAAAATATTTCAAGAGTCCTGACTTCTAGATTCTCTCTGGTGACTTTAGGTATATTATATTACTAAAAGATTTCAAAAAAAAATCCGACGATTCTATCCTCAAAGAATCATTTTTACAATTATGTTTTTATACATGTTTTATATCATTAAAAAAAATGCAATGTGCAACAAGCATCACAATTTATCACAAATATTATATTTTCACCCTGAAAAGTCACATGAGAAATACGCGTAGCATTGTTTTTTTTTTCGAAAAAGAAAATAAAGGCGAGTATCAACGAGATGTGGGCGCAGAAAAATCTGATTTATGTTATACATACGATTCACGCCACCCGTGACGGTTTCTGGCTGCCACATATCCGCAACGAAGATAACACGGATTGACGCGGGCAGGCCGCGCGATAACACACGGTCGTTGATTTTTCTGTGGAGTCAGTTAAAAGTTATCGAACAGCCTCCGGGAGGTCAGGCGGACTCGACTCGATTTACAACCGTCGCTTCTCTTCTTTCACGCTCCGGGGTAACTCTACGCATGGTCATCTTTATTCATCCGTCCGTCTGTAAAATGTCAGAAATAAAGCCGAGTATATAATATACACTCACATTGTATGTGCATTTTTTTTCATATAACACACATGTTTTGCAATATTGTATTTTTTCGAAGGCATCTGCAATCTTTTGATTCTGGTTATCTTGCAATTTTGATTCTTGCATGATTGAAGAGAAATTCGAGATGCAATATTGCTATTTTTTCTCAATATTTGTGAATTAATTCACTCTCTCACTAAGCTCTCTGACAATGAGTTTTACTTTTAACCTTTTACTCTTCAATTTATCATAAAAGATGATCTATCTGTCAAGTATATTTTTTTTATATATAACTGACTACGTTTTATCGCAAAATAACAATCATTTTATTTTTTAAAGTCAGCCGATGCTGTCTTTATACGTCTGATTCGATTTAAACACTTGGCTGCATGATGCAGGCCATTATATATTTTTATTCTTTCCGGAACAATTTCACTATTGGACTGATTGTAGGTTGCATCTATTGCAGGAGAGGCTTTATTTTCGTGAAACTCTGGCGGTTAGTTGATCAGCGAGCGATGACGACATGCGATTTATCGTGCGCTTATAATTATAACGCGATATAAACAGCATCGGTTGGCTTTAACAGTGAGATCGGCTGATTATGTGTCGGTCGGTATTATTCAAATTAATTTTGTGATAACCGGAGATAACCCCCCTTGCAGGCTAGATAACGCTAACAGAAAATCAAGGAAGTCTTTCTATTTCTCTGCCTCGCTCAATCTTTCTATAGATCTTCTATGGTAATTGTAGGCGAGAGTCGCGAGATGTATTTCTCGATTCTTAAGCATGCTCGATGAACATGATAACTCGATCCGCTGTTTTATAAGGTATTCCTACCGCGTTTTTAATTTCATAAAATTAGTATTAAAAACATTAGTATTAAAAGCATTATTATTGATGTAAAAATATTCATAGCACGTTCTTGAAGATCTTTTAAAGTTTTTAATCTCTATTTTAAAAGTTCTTTTATTTTATGTAAGACTAGAGTTGTCTCTAAAGAATATTAATAAAAATAAAGTAACCGTATTAATAGAAAGAGCAATCATTTTTATGTTATCAAAAGATCAATATATACATAAATAGGGATTCATATTTGGTACAAAAGAGAGAACCGTAAACAAAGAACTTCTGTATTATTCTAGGATAGGATTCCTTGCAATAATTTTTGGCAAAAAAGAAAATTACATAAAAATGTCTACACACTTTCCAGCATTTTCCAACGCTGATAAGAAACAAGTACTCGTTCGATAAGTCCTCGATCCATGATTTCGGTAGCCCTGATAATAATCGTGAGAAGCAGGTCGCAATTGTGAGAAAAACGGCGCGCGGGAAACGAGTTCACGCGGTCACCTCATCTCTTTCCGGGGCGTGAAAATTAATTAACCTGTCGTCGCGTAATTTCACGAAGTAACATATGGTATATTCTCGGTGAAGATCCGGCCAACAGGTGACCACTGCAATCGTGACGTTAATACCGAATACAATACCGCGATGTAATGTCTACGGCAAATCGCTCCTGCTTGCAGGACAACTTACGTAATCTACGAAATGAGATGGGATGGAAGCACGCGCGCGCGCGCGAGCTCTGGGAGTTTATCAATGGCTCGCGGAGAGAGCAAAGAGAGTTCTTCTCTCTCGATGCAACGGGCGCATCAAGATTACTATGCGCGCGAGAAAGGAGAACCTTTGATCCGGGCGTTTCATCTCGGAAAGCCTCTCTCGAGGACTCTCTTGGTGTCTCGCGTCTCGTGTATTTATACGTGAAATCGTGCCCAAAGTTCGCCTTCGCACGTTAACCCTAGAATAAGTAACTTGTTTCTCTGATATTTTTTTTTTATTGGATAGTAATAATATAAATAATAAATCGGGAAACTAATCACGTTATTTATGTAACAATTCACTTCATGTGTTTTATTATTTATATATGTATAAGAGCGAGATACGTTTGAAATAGAAATCTCTCATTCTGGAAAATGCTGCTTGTGATAATTATTTTAATGACTATAATTAAATCCGTCTGAAAAGATATATTTTTTCACTGCATTGTGAATATTTCTTCCAGAAATAAATATTGCTTATATATATCTTATTGTAAGCCTTCTTTGATTTATCCTTTATAGATAAATTGTTGTTAAAAATGCACTTAAAAATGTCATAGAATATAAATTACATTACTAATTATATAACTTTGTTTCTTATTTTCCATATTTCAACTGTTCTTTCAAAAAAGTATTTTTTCGATTTATATTTCTCTCTATATTATATATAATATTTTTTCAAAAATACAAGATTTCTAATTTTTAAAATTATTATTTATATAATCTTATATAAGTACATAATAAGTTTATATTAAAAGTAAATTTTTTATTTATCTTATATACTGCATGAATCATATAGAACGTGAATCGGAATAAATTAAGAAATCCTAATTAATCAGATGTACATTCTGTCACATATATTGCTGAAAGCTTCTTTGTTCCATCAAAGTCTCTCTCCGGATTCCCCGTGAGAAGGATCGCCACGGCAGGATTGGGAATTAGGTATTCAGGAAAGCGCGCGGTTCATAGGAAGTCTGCTACGTGACGACGATGTCAACCCAGGGCAAAGAAACGAGAAATGATTAAAAAAAAATAAACAGAAAGAGAAGAGAAGAGAGGAGCGCGGGTAGAGAGAAACAGCGAGGCGGGTAAGGCGACGACGAGGCGTTCCACCGTTCCATCTCTCGCATATGTAATGCATCCTTAAGGAATTTTTTTCAGCTTCACTATACGTTCTTATCTTGACTTTTACCCGGGCGACAATTTCGTCGGAAACTTGTTTTTCTATCCTCAACTATATTGCGACGAGATCCAATCTTGTTTAAAAAAATATAAAATATATTATCTCTCTCTGATTTTTTTTGCATTCTTCGTAATTTTATACGTGACATTATTCCTTACTATTATTGTGATAACAAGTAATGTGATATAAGTAGTAATAATTATGCTATCCATTTGTTCGAATTATTATTGGATAATTGCCCATCCTGTCGAGTATGAAAAGATTTCGGCACGCGAGAACATCGTGACTGGAGCCCGCTGTTAACCTTGTGATATTTATGGACCAAATGGAGAACGCCAAAACAGAGGACACGGCCCCTCCGAACCTCCGGAATTATCTTTAGGACGACGCGGGTCCATACACTGCTACTCGCACCTGCCAACTCCTTAAAAATTCCGAATAAAAAAAGTGTTCGACCATTCATTGTATAGTTTGGAGCTGATCGAGCGACTATCATCCTTTTTGTATTTTAAAAAATCTTTAAAAAATCAACGCAGTGTTTTCACTAAATAAATATATTTAAAATTTCGTTAAATCTAACTTTCCTTTTTCCTAAAGAACGTTGTTGATCGCATATTCATTTTAAAAAATCCGGCAATATCAAAAATTTCTTCAGCAAATGCTATTTATGTTTTCAATAAAAGATAAAAGTCTATATATGTATCGTCTAATGACTTGATAAGCAAATAAACTCCAGTTTTTAAATTGTCGAGAGCGTAAAAATTTAAATGGACGGCTGATAATTTCGGAGACAAAGTGACGTCATGGCCGACGCCAACGAGGGTTGGTACATTATGACAAGAAGGGACCATTTGACCCCACTCATTGTTTCTAATCCCACAATAAATTGAAGCAGCTGTACCGGCAATTGATACAAATTTACGTACAGTCCGATTCATAAGGCATAGTTCTTACTCGTTACGACGCTGTTATGTGCAACTTAGACTCTGCGCGCATGACTTGTTTATTAAATTGTATTCCGATCTGTATTCTACATAATATAAATCATCTCTTCGATTCTGATGAATCATAAGCTATTAAGAGCAATATAAACATCATAGCAATCATATCATCGAAATAAAAGACATAGATATAATACACGAGTTTCAATTATATATATTGATATTACATGGAAATATCAATATATATAATTGAAACTCGTGTATTATATTTGTGTCTTTTATTAAAAAATAGTTCTTAAAGTTTTTAAATTTTTTCCATTTGATATAAACATTTATGTGTCAAATATACAAACTATGATAGCATATTTATATTTAATATATAAATAATATTGTAGAATATATTTATTGCTGAAAGCTTCTTTGTTCCATCAAAACATACTTGTGCAGGAAGACAATATGTAATATAACGGTAGACATGACCGAATTATCCCCCCTCATTTAAAATTCAAGCTATCTCTATGCCAATTAAGCCACATCGTCAAAAAAAGGTCGTTAAACCTTTCACTGCCCTTACACAAAATACTGTTAAGGGAACGCATGCTGAATATGTTTAACATTTGGAACGAGACCCCATTTAATTGACTTAAAATTATCTCCTTTTACCCGAACTCGACCTTAACGAATTATGGAGGCTTTGTTCCTCATCTTTTTTAAGCTATTTGTATTTTTCATCGAAATCTTATAAACAATTGTGTATTTTCTTTATAACAAGCATTCATTGGTCGTATAAATATTGTATTTTAATGTAAATTTTTCTCAAATAAATATATATGAAATATTAAAAACAAATTTCTTCTTTAAACTTGAGGTAAAAACCTTTATAGATAAAGAAAAATACATATAAATCAATCAATAATTTTTATGTTATATATATAATTTATAAAAGAGATAAAGTTTATATTCAGTTATGTAGCTTCAAAATGCAAAACTCTTTAAATTTTCTTTTGAGTAAATTATGAATCCATAAAAAGATAAGATCCTTCCTTCTATCTTCCATGGCAACATTTGCGCATCAAAAGACTGCTATGTATTGGAATATTTTTTGGTTACGTTCGTTTAGCATCTCAAGAGGCTTCGTGAGCTACGAAAGCTCGTTGATCCTGACAGCGAGCGATCCTTCCCATGTTGTAGAGAAGGAATAAATTGAAAGGATCTAACTGGCAGCGGTCGAGGATCGATGGTTAT